GCCCAATCTGGAAGAAGGGCCCAAGCGATGTAAGCTTTCAGAATTGGCGAAGGAGGCGGGCGCGCATCGCATCGGAGCGCCGCTCCAGGGGCCCATTCGCGCGCCACTCGCGAGGACCAAAGCGGCGCTGATGCAGGGGCGATCGAGGCGTGCGCGGGCGAGGACTTCTGCGCGTAAGCGACGAAAGCCAAACCCTGCAATCACGGCCAGTCGGTAGAGTTCTGCGCAAGGACGGCAGGCAAAGACACTGGTTCGAGAACTGCGGCTAATTCGATGATCGACGGGAGCACGACGAGGGCAACCGCGTCGCCGCGGTGCAAGGGGTGAAGGGTCAGAGCGACAGCAAGTTCCCCGACAGGCATCGCGGGGCAAGTGGTCAAGGACCCAGAGAATGATGATCGTGGATGCCACGAGAGAAGCATGAAGTGCAGGGCCGAGGTCGCGGATGAAGACGCGATGGGCATGGCGATGGGCGACCGCCTGCTCGCGAGCGGTCCCGGCAGAGGGACCGGTGCCCTGGAAGCGCGCGGGTGGTCGTGCATGGCCCAGAATTCTATTGGTAGTCGATGCAGATCAGGAGCAGGAACTGGAGGTTGCTATGGAGGCTATGGCGAGGAACTCAGGGCAATGGCTCATTCGCGGAAAATTCGGCAGCGTTTCCGGTGCGCGATGGGATCTGTCTGTGGGCAGAGCGGAGCTGCATTCGTTATGGCACGAGCTGCAGAGAGCAAGTGGGCCGATGGTGGTCGTTGCGGACGACGGCGCCCGGGCGTCGAAGCATCGGGCACCGCGGGGTGCGGCGCCCAGCGCAGAGCAGGGCGAGCGCGGATGCGCGGTAATGATTGCGGGGCAGGCTGGGCGAAACGTGACCTGGACTTGCGGGCCCCGTGATCAGCGAGTTCAAGGCGCGCGCGCGAAAATGGGCAGCGATGGATTGTTTGCTGGACGGGGCGGGAAGCGGGCCACGCAGATGTGGGGGCACAGGGCTGGGCATTGGTCGATTGGAAGCAACAGTGGAAGGGCGCCCAGGCGGTGCTCAGCTCCATCGGCGAAGTGGCGCGCGCGGTGGGCACCGCCGAGTGCGACTGCAAGCTTCGGAAGGGCCACGCGGGGCGCGGGGCAGATTAGCGACCGCGAAGGCCAGAAATATTTGGATGAGTCAGGATGCCAGCCCGCCTCGTCGCTGCTGGAGTCCCCTGGCGCGCGCGCAGGTTCAGTGTCGCATGTTCTGCTGGGGGCGTCAGATCTGCCCGCCTCGTCGCTGCTTGTTTCCCTCGGCGCGGGCGGAGGGTCAGCGCCGCGCGCTTTGATGGGGCCCTTGGCCGTCGAAGAAGCTAGGGTTGAGTCGGAACTGCCCGCCTCGTCGCTGCTGGATTTCCCCAGCTTGGGCGCGGGGTCAGCGTTGCCAGTTCCGCTGCGGTGCAATGGTGGAGGCGAATGCTTGGGCGACGCAGAGGACGTCTTCGAATGCCAGGCGGGGCAGCTTTTCGAGTGCGACGGGGGCGGGGGCAAGCGGCATGCTGCTTCATTGGCTACCGCTGCGGCGGCTTCGATGGCAGCGGCGGCCGCGGCCGTCGGCATCGACGATGCGCCCCCCGTCAAGAGGAGACTGGTACGACAACAGAGCATTGAGGTGAGACCCTACTTTCAGGGGCCCCGCGGCCCTACTTGGGAGTGCGATGGCGACGCGGCAGAGGCGAAGGCCGATGCTGAGGTGGCGCCGCCCACTCGTCGACGCGACCTTGCTGAAGGTGAGACGCGGCTTAAACGTTTGGGCTGCGGCGCCCGCTTGGGGGCGGGGGTCCAGCGACCGACGAGTTTCGGCCTGAGCAGTGCGACGGGGCCCTGGCCCACCTGGGCTGCGCTAAACATTCTGGGAAAGGAAGGCGGCCGGCGAAGCCGACCTGGCCGGGCCCTGGTGGCCAGCTGGCGCGCGCGGGGCGGCGCTTTGGAAAATCCAGAGGCCACCCCGAGGGGTTCAGGAGCTTTGAACCGCGGCGGGGCCCAAACATGCGTCGCTGACTTGGCAGCTGAGCCCAATGGGGCGGAGGCCGCGCGAGCATGCACTTGCAGGCATGGAGGCCCAGTGGTCCAGAGTGGGTCGGGGGGGGGGGGGGGGGCGGCCTGGAGAGGCCTGCGGTGAATGCTCCTCGGGGCCCCGCCTCGCCCGTCCTGCCTCCGCCTGCTGGGCCTCCTGCTGGCGCTGCCGCTGCTGATGCGGCTGCGTCTCGTTCCTCTCCCTCGGGGCCTCCTGGGGGCCCTCGGGCGCCTGGCTCGCCACCAGGGAACCTCTTGGGTGCCGCGTCATGGCGCTGCTTGCGGCGCGCGGGAGCGCGCGCAGGTTGCATGGCCCCAGGTTTTGGACCTTGGGGGAACTGCGTCAGGGACAGCCTGCGTCTAACGCGTCGAGGCTGTCTCGCAGTAGAATGACGAGAGGCCGCCGCCCCCCGTGCAAGGAGGAGGACTCTTCCTGATCGGGGGACCACGTGAGTTTTCCTTG